CAGGTAGGCCAGGGATTCAAGACAGCTGTTGGGCAAACAGCTGTCCTGAACCCCTGTTTAAAGAAGCCAGCCCGGATGTTTAGAAAGTTGGGGTAAACTTTTGCGTGTTTTAAAGCAGGGTTGTAGATTTTATGAAATAAATAAAATAAACAAAACAATTGTGCATCATATTGTAATGGTAATGGTAGTTACTCTGGCATTCATCTTCAGTCTATCAGTTTAATATTTTAAGAGAAATGGGCAGCTCAAACATTGCAAAAAACAGTTTCAAATAGTTGCAGCTGGTGGTGTATTTGAGCCTATCAGAACGTCTACATCCTCCCGCGTTCACCTCAAGGTCAAAATTCTTCCTGGGCCTTCCTCATATCAGCAGCTAAAGCAGAAAACAGGCAGTTGTGAAGTTTAGCCTAAACAGTCCTTGGGTGCCTTGGGAACAAACACCAACCCGGCTGAATCGAGTATTCTCCTTCCGGAAAGTGGATGTGGAATATTACCATTTTCTTTCTTGAGAGAAGGTGTCTCCACACATTTCTTGACTGAGGTAAGCAAACTAGGCTTTATTTCACTTGGGACCACGGGGCCACTGGAAACTGGAACATCTAACCTTTCCCCCCTTGTAAATATTTTTGTTATTATTGTTAAAGTGGGGGTGGCAGGACGGAGAAAGTACTATTTTCCCCAAATGGGGATAAGTAGAAACTGGAGCCATGTGCTGAAATTGTGTTTTCCTTGAAGTTCTGGAATGCATAGGTTATGAGCAGAGAGAGATAATTCTGGGGGCTTCGGCTGATATGTGAGGTGGGGAGCTTAGAGAGCGAGAGAAATAACTTTTTAAAAAGCAAAACAAAACCATAGCTTGTGGAACAGCTGGCTTGCATAGAATCATAGAATTGTCAAATTGGAAGGGACCCTCAGGGGCAATCCCCTGCAAGGCAGAAATCTTGCCCATAGCCCATAGCCATCTTATGGGTCCACTCTCGTGCTGGTGGGAAGGTCTTGGATCTTGACTCTGTCGTCTCAAAAGGCTTTGGTTGAAAGCTGAGTGTGTGTGGTACATCAAGACCCCTAGACCTTTTTCACATGGAAAGCCAGGTGAGGTGCCCTCCCTCGCATCTTTTAATTGTGCAGCTGGTTATTCTCGCCTGAGTGGGAGCCTTTGTAAAACTGGAGCCTTTGTAAAAATGTTATTGAGTTTGGTGGGGAAGGAAATTCTTTTTCTTTTTTTTAATTGACTTAAGAAAATTATACAGACAGCAACATGAAGAAGCCTAAATTAACATTGCCTTCTACCAATAAGAAATAATAATAACTATTACAATAATGAAAATACTAAAAATACATTTACTTCCCCTTTTGAACTTCTATTCTGGTTACAATATATTACTATTCTATAAGAATCTATTATAACCTTTGCTGTCCCATATATTATTTTATTTCCCAAATTCAACCTAACCCTCCCCTCCTCCCCACTGCTTCCCTTCACCTGTGTGAGATCTTTCCCATCATAATATTTTTTTCCCTAGTTGCTTTAACAAAATAGAATAACATGAAAACTGATAAATTATAATTACTTCTTTTTTCCTTACATGCTTAACAATTGCCTATTAAGAGTTCTGCTTTAACTCCACATTTCTTCATGTATTCCCCTATGCATTCCCATTCTGTGTAGAATTTTTGATTGGAGCAGCCCCTTATGGATGCTGTCATTTTTGCCATCTTGGCAAACTCACAAATCTTAACTTGCCATTCTGTCATTTGTGGTACTTTTTCTGTTTTCCAATATTTTGCCATAAGTATTTTTGCGGCTGCAGTTATATACAAAAATATATTCCTTTTGCCCTTGGGTATGTCGTTTGTTAATAAACTCAGTAAGTATGACTCTGGGGTTTTTTTTGGGAAATAGAGCTCCTGAGGATCTTTTTGATCTCCTCATGTATCTCGTTCCAAAATTGTCTTACCACCTTACACTCCCACCACATATGGTATAATGCCCCACCTCTTTCTTGCACTTTCTTGCAGAGATTTGGGTGCTTTTTATAATTTTTTGCTAATTTTACTGGGGTGAGATATCCATAACACATTTTCATTATATTTTCTTTTACTAGATAAAGGGTAAAGGTAAAGGGACCCCTGACCGTTAGGTCCAGGCGTGGCCGACTCTGGGGTTGCAGCGCTCATCTCACTTTACTGGCCGAGGGAGCCAGTGTACAGCTTCCAGGTCATGTGGCCAGCATGACTAAGCCACTTCTGGCGAACCAGAGCAGCACACGGAAACGCCGTTTACCTTCCCGCCAGAGCGGTACCTATTTATCTACTTGCAATTTGACGTGCTTTCGAACTGTTAGGTTGGCAGGAGCAGGGACAAGCAACGGGAGCTCACCCCATTGCGGGGATTCGAACCGCCGACCTTCTGAACAGCAAGTCCTAGGCTCTGTGGTTTAACCCACAGCGCCACCTGCGTCCCTTCTTTTGCTAGATAGCAAGCTGTAAAATTTATATCTGTTTTCCACAACCTTTCCCATCTATTCAGCTGGATTGTCTGGCCTATATCTTGCGACCCTTTAATGGTCATTTCTTTTATAATCTCATCTTTCATTTCCCATTCAAGAAGTAAATTATACATTGTAGAGATGATTTTCTTGCTTGGTTGAATAAGTTCACTTTGCAGTTTTGAGGTTTTTTGTTCGAATCCTATTTTCTTGTCTTGGCTAAAGATGTGCGCTATCTGATAATATTGTAACCAGCTATTGCAGAAGGTTTTTATCTCTTCATATGATCTTAGTTTCACTTTACCATGCTCTCTCGTTACTAGATCCTGGTATGTTGGCCATTCATTTTCTGTATTAGCCTTTTTAACCGCTATTACTTCTAAGGAAGGAAATTCTTGAAGCTTCTTGACACAGAGGTGCTTGGGATGCTATCCTGCAGACACACCAGAATGTGTTACTAATGAAGGTAATTTATTCATTAGTATTAGTACTGATCAATTTATTTTGCATATGCATGCTGTGGGGTTGGGGTGGGTCTTTGTATTCCAATCCTCACTCAGCCATGAAGAAGGGCTGCCATACACTTGGAACTTCCCAGACATAGCCGGGATTTGTCTGCCAAAATCGGCATCCATGCAGAGTTTTCAAAAAGTGTCTGGGGAAACCCAGCCATATTGAGCCCACCTTGGAAGTGTTGATTTTTTGGCTCAACAACCTTTTGTGTTCGGATTTTCACTTTTTGAAATAGGGCAACCCTACATGAAGCTCAGGGTATGACACTGAAGTAATTGCTAAAATTTTATTTGGGTGAAAGGTGTTGTTGAATTACAACTCACAGCAGCCCTAGCAGGCAAAGCCATTGGCCAGGGTTGATGGGAATTGTAGTCCAACGACATCTGGAGGTGTTGGGGTTAAGTCTGAGGGCAAAGCTTTGGTTAAGAGCCAGGGTTATGCCTCAGGGGTTAGCAGATCAATCTCAGGGCTGTATTTTATATTCTTGCAGGGCAACCACTGGACTTCACCAGAAACGTGAGCCAAACACAGGAGGGATTGTGTAGTCAAGGGTTGTGTTGAGTGAGTACGCAGAATCTAGCTGTACAAAGTGGCAAAACGTATTTATTTATTGCTCTGGTGACTTGGCGACTGGTCAAGTGGATTCTTTCTAGCATTGGGAAGGGGGGCATGGCCCTGGGGGCAAAATTCTGAGGGGCACAACCCCACAGTTATAATTTGTGGGTTGCCATATGATTCTATTTTGCTTTTAATGTGATTTTAAGCTGTATTTTAATCAATTGTTTGACAATGTTTTAGTGTACAGTATTATATATTTTGATATTAGCCGCCCTGAGCCTGGCCTCGCTGGGGAGGGTGGGATATAAATAAAAATTATTATTATTATTATTATTATTATTATTATTATTATTATTATTATCCCACCATGGCAAAGGTGGAAGAGCAGCCCAGGCCCACGGTGAGCGGGCATGGAGGGAGGGAGGTGGGCAAAGGATGCCCCCAGCATAGCCCAGCCCAGCACTCCTCCCTGTGGGCATTGGGAAGATTTGCCCACCAAGGCCCATGGCAGTTGGCTGAACAACCCCCAGCATGGGCAGGCAGGTAGCGTGGTGCATCCCCACTTGGCTCCAGGGGGCGCTTTGGCAGTGTCAGCAGCTGGCCCGCCCCAGGTGCCAGAAGCCCACGCTACATCCCTGCACCCCTGCCTTTAGGTGCCGGGCAGCGAAGCAGCCAGAGAAAGGGAGGCAGCATGTCTGCCCTGGACTCCTTCTCGGGTCTCTTTGGGACAACTTGCAGGGCTGTTGTTGATGTTGGACGTGATAAGGGAAGGCAGGCTGGGGAGGAAGGGAGCTGATGCTTCTCATCTGCTCCACCTTCTCCCCCCGCCCCACTCCAGCGGCAGAGCATATGCCTGTGCTGCCCAGGGCAGGTGGTGCGGAGGGTGTGCTCCCAGATGCGGGACAGCCGCTCTGGTGCCTGGAGTGACGCGTGCGCCCTGCAGCCGAGGGCATAGTGAGCCACCCATGGCAGAAATTCGGTGCACCGCCTGCCCACGACTCCCAAGCCTCCCCCAAGCTGTCAAAATGAAGGGGGGAGGGGGATGCTGCTGGTAAAGCGGCGCAGCTCCCCCTCTTCCCCCAACGGCTTGGGGTAGGATTGGGAGCCATGGGCGGGCGGTGCACCAAATGTCACCCGGGCCATTCCGCTCCCACCCACCTTTTCCTACACCCCTTTACTCCATTACAGGCCCAGTTTGGTAACTGGTTTGTGAGGGACAGTTGAGCAGGGGCCATTTCTGTTTCCATCCACCATCCCTTTCTGCCCTTCTCCTTGAGTGCTAAGTCAGCCTCAGGTGCAGCAAGCAAGGAAAGGAACAACGGTGGGAGAAAGATAAAGCCAATGTGTGAGTGAGTGGGGGAACTTTCTGTCCAAATGGTGATTTTAAAAAGTGATGTTTTCCCAATAGGGGCCAGAGGCGCTTCTTTGATTGGACCCGCCATGCTGAAACGAAAGAGGAAAAGAAGTGAAAATGTTCAGAATGCTCCTTGCTCTGCAACAGTAGAACAGGCCAGCTGTCATCCTGGCACTCATGCAAAAACAACTGTTGTGAAAATAGCAGCGCAAAGAAAACAATGTCCTCCTAACATTAAGAAGACTCGCTCCACAGTTTGCCCACACACTACAAAAGCACCAGAAGACAACTGCAGGGGGGAAACTGCATCCAAACTAAATGATCAGACCTCCATATTCAGTGGTGGTGAAGAGAAAGATAAGGCTGGCAGCAGTAACAGAACTGAAAAATCAAGAAAAGCTAGCAGGAAAAGACCACATGACAAATGTGTGTCGAAGGCTCAAGTAAAGCATCGCAAAGCTCTCTCCAAAAAAACAGATGTTGAACCTTTACATCAGAAGTCCTACCAACATGATAAGCTGGAGTGTGGAACGATAATAGTAGGAGCCCTAAAAAGAACACTGGTGGGGACTGTAAATGTTTCTTTCAAGGCTATCAAGATAAACCTGGAAAAGGGCCCTAGGGGTATTCGTTTAAAGGCAGCTGAAATTACCAAGTGGACATATGGATTTGCACGCAACCAATTTGTATCTTTCCTGCGAACTACAGCTGCTGCCTATAAAAAACTGGAATCCCAAATGAAGGGGAACAGGAAGAAAGCTAATGTCAGGAAATGCCGTAATGCCACAAATCCTAAAGAACGAGAAATCATTTTAATTGTTGATTTCTGCTATGATCCTGATACATATTCAATAATTGAAGCAATGATCACTAATATTGGTGATACGAACAACATTCCTGATTTCTGTGTGAAAATGACATCTAAAAAAGCAAATAGTGTGCTTGAGGCCTTTCAAATACCCCTTGAAGACACCTCTAGAGAAAACAAAACAAAACATATTCTGCAGCTGCAGAATAAAACACAGTCCCAGGTCCTTGGTGACAGTGATGAATCTGAGTCAGACTCTACACAGAGAATCGTTTATCCCCCACCTCCTGCAATGGGAGGTATTGCTGTGACCAATAAGGATCTTCAGTGCTTAGATGAAGGGGAATATTTAAACGACGCAATCATTGATTTTTATTTGAAATATCTGGTGCTTGAAAAATTGAAAAAAGAAGATGCTGAAAGAACTCATGTGTTCAGTTGCTTTTTTTACACATTCCTTAGTGAGAAGGAGAGTAGAAATTTTCCAGAGACCTCACAACTCACAATTGAGCAGCAATGGCAAAGGCGAGTGAAAGGATGGACACAAGATGTTGATATCTTTGAAAAAGATTTTGTTTTTGTTCCCATCAATGAAGATGAACATTGGGTCTTAGCTGTTATCTGTTTCCCAGGCTTAATGCAGCCTGTATACGAGCGCAATCCATACTCTAAGAAAGTTAAATTTTCTGCTATTTGCAAACAGCCTTGTATTCTGCTCATGAATTCATTTAGGGGCCCCTTCCCATCACATATTTTCCAAATACTTCAGGAATGGCTGGAGTTAGAGTGGGAAGTCAGGAGAGGTACCAAAAGAAGTTTCTCTGAACATGTTGTGAGATGTTTATACCTGGAAGTGCCACAACAAAACAACAATAGCGATTGTGGAATTTATGTGCTACAATATGCGGAGAGCTTTTTTGAGACTCCCATTCTAAGCTTCGACACACCAATGAATTTAACAGACTGGTTTCCTGACTCAAGAGTGGAAAATAAGCGAGAAGAAATACGAAACTTAATCCTCAGTCTGCAATAGTTTCTGCAGGAACCTCTGGTTTCATTGTTGCTGTAGGATTTATTTGGCCCCTTGGCTATGCCCATAATTTCTAAGACCAATTCAAGACCAAGGCAATCCTGTTTTAAGAAGGCTTTTCCTTTATGGAATAATGATCACAATCATTGCCTTTACTTCTGTTGTTTATTTCACTTTGTTTACTGTGCACAATTCTGTAACTTTAGGTTGTAAAGTACTTTTTAATAGCTGCAAATAAGTAAACATTAACTGCAAGTTCACCTTGCCATCTGTGTTATTGTTTTGATTCAGCATATAAATGAATAAGCAAAATAAATGCATAAATAAATGAAATGATATGGATGGGATGGATGGGAGTTGTAGCCCACCAGCATCAGTTGGTGTCGGAAGGGCCTGCCCAAGGTATTTCGGCACCTGAGGCAAACTACAAAATGGCACACACACACACTCACACACACACGGAAAAAATGTGTGAATGAAGAACAGGAAATCAGTACTAGGAGATCTGCCACCACTTTGAGCTAGCCCTGGGTGCAAGGGTTACAGAGAAAACCACTCCAAGCATTGAACGGTGGTTCTTCAAGAGGCTGAGCCAGGCAATCTCAGGTCTTCGTGGGAGGAATGGGCCTTCTTCATGTCACTTGCTCACTGCCCCACTAGAGGCACTGTCTATTTACTCCCCACTTTCCATGTTGAAACATTTAGAAGCCATGAGTACAGTCTCGTTTAACCAGCCCCTTCCTAAGTCTTCTGCTGCAGGGAACATGCCTTGCCTCTGCCACAAACCACTCCTCAGCCCCACCCCATACTAATGGAGTGTAGAAGGGAGAGCATTTGATTGGGGAGACTATGTTGCAAGCAACATCCTTTCCCCCCAAAGCACTCTGGGCGCTGCAGTTTAAACCCACCAACCCATCCTCCAGGTTGAAATTCCCAGCAACCTTTAGCAAACTGCCATCTCCAGAATTCTTTGAGGGAAAGGGTGAGCTTGAAATGTGCTTTACAGGTTAAACAAAAAACGGAAATGGGGAGGAGGATGAGTAGAGGAGCTCCGTCCTAGTTTGTTGTTTTAGCAATAAATCTGAAATAATTAACAGCCAGAGTCTTGCGTTTGTGGGAGAGACCAAGCCATAACAGTAAACACTAAACAGTGAAACCCACGGCTTTCAACAGAACATTAAAAACAGAATAAAACTTCAAACATTAAAAACTTCCCTAAACAGGGCTGCCTTCAGATGTCTTATAAAAGTAAGATAGTTGTTTATTTCTTTGATATCTGGTGGGAGGGCATTCCACAAGGCAGGAACCACCACCAAGAAGGCCTTCTGCCTGGTTCCCTGTAACTTTGCTTCTCGCAGCGAGGGAACCGCAAGAAGGCCCTCGGTGCTGGACCTCAGTGTCCGGGCAGAACGATGGGGGTGGAGACGCTCCTTCGGGTATACTGGGCCGAGGCCATTTAGGGCTTTCAAGGTCAGCACCAACACTTTGAATTGTGCTTTGAAACGTACTGGGACCAATGTAGGTCTTTCAGGACTGGTGTTATGTCGTCTCGGCGGCCACTCCCAGTCACCAGTCCAGCTGCCACATTCTGGATTGGTTTCCGTGTCACCTTCAAAGGTAGCCCCATGTAGAGCGCTTGCAGGAGTCCAAGCGGGAGATAACCAGAGCATGCACCACTCTGGCGAGACAGTCTGCGGGCAGGTAGGGTCTCAGCTTGTGTACCAGATGGAGCTGGAAGACAGCTGCCCTGGACACAGAACTGACCTGCACATAGCCTTGGGTTCATCTTACAAAGCCGACTGAGTGACCCCAAGCTACTCAAAACCTCTCACACATGGTTGTTTTGAGGATGAAATGATGGCAGAGGGAGAACCATGCACATGACCTCAATCTCTGGGGTATTAGCCATTTCTCATTTTAACTAGCAATAACATGCATTTGTTACGTTTGGCTGCTGATCTTCCCCAATAGCACAGCTGGGAAAGACCTTCTTCAGGAAGACAAAGGTTTCCTTGGTTTCAGCTTCTGCTGTGATCCTGGGCATCCTACATTGGAAGGTGGTAGCTGGGATGCCACGAGGCCTGATCCCCATATAGTTCCCTTCAGGTTGTGATTTAGGTTGTGAAAGGAGGTGGGGGGTGTATGTGGTGCTTGTGAAGGACAGAGAAACAGGTTCCTGCTTCAAGGGGCTTCTGATCTGAAAATAAACACAGTGGAGACAGAGGCAGAGGGTAAACAGAGGAGAGTATGCCATTTATTTCTGTTACGTGCACTGTGTACTCATCCTAGCAGCAGTAGGGCAGCCGTCACCAAGCTGGTGCCCTCCAGATGTTGCTGAACTAAAGCTCCCATTCATCCCATACCATTGGTCTTGCTGGCTGCTGGGAGTTGGAGGAGTCCAGCAACATCTGGAGGGCCACCGGTTCCCACTCCCCACATCCCTGCCCTATACTTAGTCAAACTGTTGGTCCCATCTAGCTCAGCACAGTCTATTTGCTGAGATTAATGCTCCTCATTCTTCACTGGAGATGCTAGAGAGTCTTCATGGGACCTTCTGCATGACCAACAGATGCTCAACATGGGGCTAAGGTGCTCCCCCCTCAGTAAGACAGCCCCGCCATTGCTTCTTACAGCATTGCTTCAGGAGCTGAATAGGTTAGCCAATTTATTTATTTAGAGCATTATTTGTTTCCAGTAAAGTGGGGAATAACTTCCTAATAAATAACCATGTAAAATTTATCCCTTGGAGCATTCTACTGTAACAATGGCAGCAATTCAACCAAATTTCAGCTAGGGCTCAGGAACCGTATGCAGGGCATGTAGTTGAAGGACAATATTTTAAAATGTGCATATTCCACCCCCAAATCCCAAAAGGCTCCCCCCCTACTTTGTGAGAATTTATCACTGTGGTAACCAAAAGCTTCCACTCATTAAAAAGCAGAAGGAAAAACTATAGTGTTTAAGTGAGCTAGCACATTTAAAATCAAAAGAATGGAAAAGTGGCAGCCTCATTATTTCAAAATTGGGTCTGTACAATCACGTCTATTCCCCTGCTCAAGAAATCTCCATATAAAGTGGTGCTTCTAGATTTGAACTGGGAACCCCACTGGTTCCCTGCAGCCTCTGATCAGAGGGTGGGATTCTGGAGGCTGCCATCTATGGCCTCTATGCTCAGGAAGTCAGCTGACACTAGAAGGCCAATCCAGTGCACTCCCTGGTCCAAAAACACCCTGAGCTGCTACCTTCCCATCAGTTTGGGAAGCTGCAGCTGAAGAGCAGCTGGCTGGACCATTCTATGGCATCACCTTCAGCCTAGCTTGAACCCGGAGGCTCCAACCTGCTCTTCACAAGGTGCTTATGCCTGCCACTCACCCAAAGCATCAGAAACATGTAGAACAAAACCAAAAATGGCATAATCAGTCTGAACACACAAGACCTTAGAAACACTTGCCATTTGCCCAGCCTTCCAGCACGAGCTTATTTTTGTGACCAAACATCAGAACCAGGTGCCAAGGCTGATTGTGATGTATGAATCTGAACTGTGTAAGGTGAGTTTTGTTACTTTAAATTTCTGCTGGGGTTCTCTCGTCAAACTGTATCTGCCCCAAACTTGGATCTTTGCATCCTGGAATTCTCCTTTTTTATATTTATTTTTTATTTTTGGAACCAACATATAGAACATAACATGAATTAACACAAGAAGGGGCCTTTTTTGCAGTGGCTCCCCATTTGTGGGGAGGCCCAGGAAGGTTCACCTTCATTATACACCTTTAAGTGCCAGGCAAAAATGTTCTTCTTTAACAAGCCCTTTGGCTGATTGATATCTGATGCCCTTTTAAAATGTTTGGGGGGGAGGGGGTGTTGGGTCCTTTTGGTTTTTATTTTGATTATGTATTTTACATTTTTATATTCTGACTGTATCCTGTACCGGTGTAGGGTGGTGTACAAATTTTATTAATAATAATAATAATAAATCCGCAGAAACTTCAGGTAAATTCCTGAGCAGCTTTGCTGGCAGAAGACTGGGAGTCCTTCAGGGAGTTCTCCCTGTGTGTTTCAGATATGACAGCTCCAATGCTTCCATCTGCTTGTGGAAAACTAGAGAGTTCCAAAGTGCTAAAGCAGAGTCAGGATATGATACTGTGAAACTCCTTGTTTTGAAAGGGGTGATGTAGTCCAACAAGTCACCTCTTTAGCTAGGTGTGATTTATGTTATTTCTTAGCATACAGCGCTCCCAATATGCTGAGAGCACCCAGCCCTATCTCTGTCTCTTCAGGATTAGAAGAGGCAGGAAAGCTCCTGGAGACAGTAATGGGCTGGATGGGAAGATAGATAGAGATAGATGACTCCCACTTCTGAGATCTGGTAGGGTTGACCATTCTGGATGGGACTGAACTTCCACTTCAGGGATAGGTTGCTAAAAGTATCATTGTCACTTGAGGCCCAGGTGAGCTCAGTGACGAGGATTGTCTATGGCCAGCTTCAGTTGGTGTATCAAGTATGGCCATTTCTAGACATGGATATCTTGATTACAGTTGTCCACCCAATGGTAAACTCCAGGGTAAACTACTGTAGTGCACTCTGCATTGGGCTGCCCTTGAAGATGATCCAGAAGTTGCAGTTGGCGCAGAATAGAATAGCAAGTTACATGTGATAAACATCACTCTCAAACAGCTCCATTGGTTGCCAGTTATCTTCCAGGCCCAATTCAATGTCTTTAGGTTGACATTTAAAGCCCTGAATGGCCTGGGGCCCATATATCTATTATTATACGTTCTCCTTTATCAACCTGCCCCTGCTTTTCTGATGTTCCCATGGAAGCACCTTCTTGGTGGTGGCTCCACAACTATGGAATTGTCTCCCCTTTGAAGTGCCTCTCACCCCAACCTAATATTTTTTTTAGATGCCAGGTAAAACCCCACCTTATTTCTCAGGCTTTTAGAGGTTGATGAGTTACATCATATTGTTGTTAATTATGTAACTTATGATAATTCTTTTAACA